GGGAGGCTTTCGGCCCTTGCCGCCGTTGCCCGCGGGGGGGAGGGAAAATCGGGGGGGGGATTGTTGGGCCCGGCAGGTGGGAGGCACTCAGGCCTCGCCATCAGGGTCCGTGGGTGGGGAGGGAAATTGGCACGGGGGGAATTGGCGGGCCCAGCAGCTGGGAGGCACTCAGGCCTCGCCACCGGTGCCCACGTGAGGGGATTCAGTGGGCCGGGGTGGAGAAGGCTTACCTGCGGAGCTGCTTCTGCAGACCAGGAGCCTTTAGGAATACTCCCCCCTGCGAGTATCACGGGTCCCGCTTCTTGTGTTTATCTAATTCCCTCTTGAAACCATCCATGCTTGTAGCCCCCACCATCTCCTGCGGCAGTGAATTCCATGTGTTAATCACTCTTTGAGTGAAGAAGTACATCCTTTTATCTGTTCTAACCTGACTGTTCAGCAATTTCATTGAGTGCCCACGAGTTCTTGTATTGTGAGAAAGGGAGAAAAGTACCTATTTCTCTACCTGCTCTATCCCATGCATAACCTTATAAACCTTGATCATGTCACCCCTCAGCCATCGTTTCTCCAAGCTAAAGACCCCCAAGCGTTTTAACCTTTCCTCATAGGGAAAGTGTTCCAACCCTTTTATAATTCGTTGCCCTTTTTTGCATTTTTTCCATGGCTATAATATCCTTTTTGAGGTGTGGTGACTAGAATTTTACACAGTACTCCAAATGAGGTCGCACCATCGATTTATACAGGGGCATTATGATACTGGCTTGCATTTTACTTGCCACAGCCTGTGTTCCCTTTTATCAACCTCACTGAGACTAGCTTTCCACCGCTTAAAGGAATCCTTCTTACCTTTTACAGCTTCCATTACTTTGTTAACCATGCAGGCTTTTTTCCAATACCTATTTGTGCCTTTCCTAAGCTGCGATATATATTTTTTCTGAGCTTCTAGGACTGTAGTTTTAAATAGTCTCCAAGCTTCTCCAATGGTTTTCTACTTTTCCTTTCAATTTCTTCGTCACATGTCCCTTCATATCAGAGAAGTTACTCCTTTTAAAGTTAAAAGTGGTTGTGTCAGTCTTTTTGGGCAACTCCCTATTTACACAAATGTTGAACTCAATAACATTATGGTCACTGTTCCCAAGTGATGCAATCACTTTTACGTCTCTTACCAGGTCTTGGGTGTTACTTAGGACCAAATCCAGGATCACCTCTCCCCTGGTAGGTTCTGTGACCCTTGTAGAATTTCAGCATGTGAAAACAATTACTCTGCTGAACAGCAAGAAGTGGTAAGTAACATGGTGGAACCTTCCAACGGTACTGACATGAGTGAGCAAACTGTTAGCCCCAGACAGCTGAAGATGGAACCTGTGAGAGACTGGGGATATAGCTAAATCAGAAACCACATTTTACTGAGTCATCCTTTATTATTGTTCTGTGTGGGACAAATATCTTGTGACTAGGGACAGAACTAAGGAACATTTATTCACTGTGACCTCCTGGGGGGAAAATGTGATTGTGGGCTGCAGAAAGGAAATGAACATGTTGAGTGGGAAACTGCCCCCTTCCATAATGGCAAGCCAGCCAAAGAATGCATGGTGACTCTGAGGCAAAGAACACCTCAACAGGACTGAAGTTTCTCCATGTCCTCTTGCCTGGAGAAGCTGAATAAGTGATTTTAATGTGTGTGCAAATAAGCCGTTGGCAGCCGGAACATTATTTTTGTAAATCTGATCAGCTGGATAAGTATCAGGGCAAAGCCACGGCAGCACCTGACCCTCTGGCTATAATGAATCACATAATGGACTTAGTAGCAGAGCAGCCAGATCTTGCCGGTGCATTTACAGCACTAAAATCTCAACTCTAATTAGAAGATGCACATTACCTACACTATATTAACAAATAGGGTGTTTATAATATCATGCAGTTGGGAAATCAGCCCCACTGTATTACAGTAAGCTAAGATTCAAGATGAATGTTAATCAAATAGTTGCCATGAATACCTAGAATACCTATAGAAAAAATTCTTTTACTTCAATTCCATTAGAGTATCTAACTATTTTCGCTATATCTGTACTACTAAATCATTACTGTCAGAGCTGATAGGAGCAAAGATCACCTTGTCCAGCATCCTCCTACAAGGCATGCCTATCTATCAATCTGTATAATCTACGCAGGTCAATTACTGCTTTATTTGTACTATCTTGCCTTGAAATCTTGATTTCATTTGCACATTGTATACAGAGGCAAAATCATACCCTGGATGATGCCTTAAAATGAGAAGAGATGGCTTATACCCAGGTCCGTAATCATGGGGGGCATCTGAGGCAATGCTCCCTCACAAATGTGCCCTGCCCCCTCACTGCCCATCTCCCCCCTCTATCCTCTCCATCCCTCCCAAGCCTGCATGAGCTGCCGCCTCTCTGTTTGCAGCCTGGTTGGGCTTTGCTGGCGTCCGGCTCTCCACAGTGGAGCAGGGAGGGAGTGGGAGTCTGGCTGTGCCGGAGGGCCATTCTCAGCAGTGCGCAGGTGCAGTGAGACACCGGGGCAGGCCATTGTCTTCCTTTCCCCCACTCAGCTCAGTGGCATTGGGGAAAGTGTCTTTCTGTGTGTTTGGGATGCCGAAAAAGCTGGCGGGCAGACGGGCAGGCTCTCTTTGCCTCCCCACCGCCAAGACCACCCTTTCTTCCTGGGCATCATGGGCCCCTCAGCACCACTTTCCACAGCAGCAGCAGCAGTATCCTAGCTGGCCCTGCTTTTGGGCTGAGGTGGCTGGAGGGGGGGGGGGAGACAGCCTGGCTGGGTGGCTAAGCTCCAGCGGGCCGCCTGCTTTGGCTGGGCACAGGATCTGATCAGGAGCCGGAGCTCCACCTCTCCTCCAGCAGCCGTGGCAGCGACAGGTGGAGGCAGGCAGGCGGGTCTGGCGAGGGGGCCATCCCTGGAAGGAAGGAAACTCATTCCGGCACCCACGTTCTTGGTGTCCTGCTCATGTACCTGGCCCACACGGAGGAGATCAGCAGTTTCTGGTGGGAGGAGAGGGGAAGGGCGTGGCTCTTCTCGTCACCGTTTTGAAGTTATTTTTATTTAATTATTTTTGTGATGTTGGAAGTGATGTAGGCATGTGCCCCCTCCATGCCCCTCCCCCATCTTCTGGTTATGGGACTGTTTATACCAATTGTAGACTATTCTGAAACCACCTTATACTGAATCAGACTCTTGGTCCATCAAAGTCAGTATTGCCTACTCAGACTGGCAGCAGCTCTCCAGGGCCTCGGGCAGAGAAGAGAGAATAGAAGAGATTGGATTTATACCCTGCCCTTCACTACCCAAAGGAGTCTCAGAGCGGCTTACAATCTCCTTTCCCTTCCCCTCCTCACAAGAGACACCCTGTGAGGTAGGTGGGACTGAGAGAGCTCTCTCGAGAACTGCCCTTGATAGAACAGCTTGGAAAGCACTTATAACTGACCCAAGGTCACACCAACAGCTGCATGTGGAGGAGTGGGGAATCAAACCCGGTTCTCCCAGATTAGTCCACGCTTCTAACCACTATGCCAAACTGGCTCTATTCAGTGGCATCACCTACTGTCTTGTCCTTTTAACTGGAGATGCCATGGATTGAGCCTAGAACCTTCTGCATGCCAAGCAGATGTTCTACCACTGAGCCATGACCTCTCCAAACATAACAAAACAGCAGCGTTCTTGAATCAGAGCATAAACATGAACACCACAAATTTGCATGAGCTTTAACCTAAAGGCATACTTAGCATGTCACAGATCTGCAAGTGTAAGTAATGTCAAAAATATTGATTTAAAAAACAAAACACGAACATGCAATATATAAACATAATGCAGTAAAGAATGTCTATCCCAGATATTGGGTTGGATCCCCTGGAGCACTTCTGGGAGGAATTTTTTGCCCACTGATTTCTCCCCCCCACTGCAAACCTTCAACTCCCATACTGTTCCAAATGGGGTCCTCTGTCCCTCAGGAGGGGAATTTTGGGCTGCTGAAGGGGTGGGAGACAAGGAAGAGTTGCACTGCTGCTGGGAATTCCTTTTGTCAGTAGAACTGTCTGCAGGATCCATGCCACTGAATAAGAGTCGTAAGACAGAGGTTTTAGCTTTATGCCATACGAAATTGTTGGCTAACATCCCCTTCTCCCTTGCCCATTCAAGTTCTCAGAGTCAGGTATAACAGAATTACAAGTAAGAGTCGATTAGTGCAATCAGCAGCAAAGTAGTCCTTCATGGAGAGAGGACACTCCAACTTACCCATGGCTTGACAGAAGAGGAGGAAGGTGCTATGGGCATTAACATGCCAGATCTGGTCACTTAAGAAGGGTGGCATCAACATGACTGTGGAACAGTCTGTGCCAAACTGGGGATTGATAGGTGAAGGAGCTGAATCACTTCCCACACAGGGCAAAAAGGAGGTACCAGGAGGAGGGAAAGCTATATGAGATGAGGCTGTGACCAAAGACGACAGAAAAGAAAAAAAGAAGAGGGCACTAAGGCAAAAAGTTTTAAGAAACACTTCACATTTCCACTCCCCCCCCCCAAAAAAAAGTGCAAAGGACAGAATGTAAGAAAAGAAAAGGACCAGTGAACATTAAAGAAATAATAGTAAGAATGCAGAATTAGACCCCAGAGTGACTTCCATTCTTCTGTTCTGCCTGCAACTATAAAAGAAGGATGACACGCCTGTCTGGTTTCAATGTGACAAAATCACCCAGCTTAAAAGTCACGCTTAGTATTTCAAGACATCGTCATTTTCCTCCAGTGATACGGAAGTAATACAATTTATTTGAATACTTATTTTTACCATTTCATATGTACATAATTAAAAATAGAAAAATAAAAGCAAACTGAATCTTGCAAAATATAAAAACTGTTTAAACTAAGATGGTCTACAATGGGTCACAGACTGTTTTAACTGGTGGGTGGGGGAGGGAAGAGTTTCGGACAAACTGCATACTCAACAACAAAAATTCACTATCTCTATAAACCATATTTACAGTTAGCAAAATGCAGACAGTGAGATACAACTATTTAAAACTGTACAGCACAAACCAGTTCTACAGACAAATAGTGCTGTTGTGAACCACACTTAGGACATCTGAATCCCAGCAGAGATTAGGGCAGTTCTTCTTCCAGTGTCTGTTTTCCTTTTCCAGCTGCTTTTCAAAAATGTTGGTGAACGTTGTGACATGAAAACATTTGGCAACACTGGTAATGAAAAGGAAAAACTTCCTTTTACCTGATCACCTTCCAACTGTGAAAAAGAGTAAATCTCCAACAGTCTTTTATGGGAGGGTCAACAAACGTTTGACAAATTCTGCATTGTATCCACACAACACATCTCTCTCACATTGATGTGGTTCAGGGATTACAGTTTTCCCACTAATCCATTTAAAAATCTTAAAATAAATCCATAAAATCTAGTTAACATGGCAGTGTCCAACTTCTTGAAAATCACTCTAAGTTCCCCACAACCCCAAAATGAACATTAAACATCCAATTGATTACTATATCTACATTTTTATACAGAAAAACAAAAACATTTAACCCAAGTTTATCCCTGAGAACATTATGCAACTCTAACCAGATTTATCCCAATATACAACACAGTCTAAAAAGATACACAAATAGTTTTGGAAAGATCCAACATTTCTTTTGCCAGCTAAAGCTACCAAATACAATTAATGCATTTACACGGAGCATTAAGATTCACTAGATGCAAAGAAATGTCCCAATCTGGACAAAAAGGCTATAATTTACCAATCTGATAAACTAAACATCATTTCCAATTTGGAATTAAACTGAAATTAGATTTTTTTAATGGCAGTTAAATATGTGCAGACTGGAGCTACTTAAATTCTTTTTTGGCATGGCTCTGCAAAATTTTGCCTTCTAAGACAAAAAGGAATCAATTAAAACAGTCAGTATGTGAAAGTGTTAAATTATCATTAGAAACAAGCACAAAGATTCACAACATGAAACGGAAACTGGCCATTTAAAAGAAAAGAAAACAAGACAAATGTGTAACAGAATGGTTTTCAGAAAATGCAAGATTTGTCTCTAACCAGGTGTGAAATGACAAGGTGTCAGTGATAAAACTGAGAATACATAGCCCTTTCTGTCCCCATTATCACATTTAAACCATTCAAAAATAAAGTGTCAGAATGACAGTACTTTTATTATGGATGTTGAAGATGTTCTTTTAATCCCCCTCAGCATCCGAGTCAGCAAATTTCAGTTCACACTTCACATCAAAAGGTTTGTCCTTGACTTCTTTGTAAGACTGTGAATGATCCTCATCATGTTGAACGTGGCCATTGACGTAGTCTGCTTCCGTCTCATAACCTGTGTCATGTGACGGCTTTGGCTGTTCTCCACTTTGGGTCAGGAGACTGCCAGGCTCTACCAGCGTCTCCTTCACACTTTGCTCACAATCAGAAAAATCTGCCTTGGGCTTCTTCTTTCCAAGTAATAAAGCAGAGCGGAACTTCAAACATTGGTCTGGTAAATATCCTTTGTAACAGTTGTATGAGAACAGACATAGGAACAGTACAAAGAAGAACAGAAAAAGAAACATCAAAAGGCAATTATCATTTGACTTCAGAAACATTGTCCTTGCAGGAACCTCAGCAACAGAGTTCAAGAGTTCATCAGAGGCAGTACTTGTCAGGATGGGGATGATGGGATTTGTTACTATCCTGGATGTTGTGACCGCTGCAGCTGGAGTGGTGAAAAGATGACCCTGGGTAAAGACAACTGACTTTCTTGGCGCTCTTCCATTTCCTTCCACCCGTGTTGTTGGCTGGACTGGGTTCACAGTGGTGTGCTGGAGTTTCTTCAGTTCCAAAACATGCTTGGCCAAAACCTGTGAGAACTTCTGATTCTTCACTTTTTCTTCCGACAGGCACTGATAAACGCCACTGTCTCCCTCAGACAAATTGAAGATAAGTAGTGCTTTCTCCAGGAGACGGTATTTGGGGCTTTCAACCTTTAGTACATCATCTCTGAATTTCCAAACCACCTGGGCCAGGTTGGACTTCTGAGAACATTTTAGCTCTGCAGTACTCCCATGCTTGTAAGTGTGCTGCAGAGAATGCTCTTTTATTTTATCTGGAACAGCAAAATAAATGTGAACGAGATCAGCAATGATTTGGGGGGGCCAACAGGCCTATTCAGCCGTGCAGGTAAATACAGAAAACAAATTTACCGGCTCAAAGCATGAGTGGCCAGACTGCTAAATCACATTTACTTTTCTAAGATTCCACATATAATGCGTCAGAAAGATTGGCTATTTTCCTAGGTCTAACGACATCTTAATAAGGCAAACACACTGCCTTATACTGAACCAGACCCATGGTCCATCAAATTCAGTATTGTCTACTCAGACTGGCAGTGGCTCTCCAGGGTCTCAGGCAGGGGTCTTTCACATCACCTACTGCCAGCTCCTTCAACTGGAGATGCCAGGAACCTGGGTACTTCTGCTCTACTTTTGTGCAAGGGGGAATATATCAAGTGGTTCTAATGCAAAGCTGTACTAAGACTTAATAAGATGACAACATATAGAAAAAACCCAAAAACCCTGAAATTGTTAGATGAGCTAATGGAAGGATCCAAGGATCAGAAGTATTTTAGAAGATAGTTCACTGTAACATTCTTTTCTCTGAAGTACATATAGTATATTACATATGCATTGCCTTGCAAATAAAATACTATGATTATACATCAGAACTAATTGATTTAAAGACACTGTTAGGACTGTTGGCACTACAATGGACCCACAAGTTCACAGTCCAGTACAGCATCAGCACCACTGCATACCTGGCCTTATACTGTGCATGGTCCCATGTGAGCCAGGAGTATAGAGCTCATTTTCTAAGTTAAGAAATGCTTAATGGTGATTGCCTGATAGAACCCAATGTCACACACAGGCCTTTCAGAGATTCTTAGAAAACAATGGACACCCCTTGACCACTTGGAGCTCTGGAAATGCACAGGTTTATATGGTGGTTTTGGTCACATCTGATTACAATCTCAAATCAGTCTACCTACACCCTATTTTCCATACTGTTTACAGTAGCAACCATCATTTGTAAAAAAAAATGAAACAAAACTTTAAAGACAATCCCTCCAACATAATTTCCTCAGGTAGTTCTGGTATAACAACCAGTTTTCTGTTAACTAAACCAATAGAAGTCATGGTTGTGGTCCTTTGCAAACTCTGTCTATTGCTGATTCACATATAGGCAGTCCCCCACCTTAGCACCTAGAGTATAGGAAGGGCTGCCAGTGGTCAGCACTTACAAGAAACGTTCTGTTTGTAAGAACCAGCATCTCTGCGTGGGAATGATCACGTATCTAACATGATTTGTGCCAGTGTGGTGGTTTCTTGTTGATCTCCCATGGGCATGTACTTTATGTGTGCAGTCCCCATGTTGAGGAATCTCACATGTGCTACCTCCATATGAATGTTTAATTGTGAGCAGTGAGTCCAGTGCCAGACTTCACGTATTCCCAATGGTTGTTGGAGTGTGGGAACCAGACGTACACAGTAAAGTAAAACAAGCCACCCAACAAAATCCCACACAGTTTAAAAAGTCTAACTCCAACTTACTCAATGAATATATTTATTTATGTATTTATTACTTATAAAAACAAACTGTTCACAAACGTTTAACAAATTTACAAGGTAATTTTTTAAACAATAAAAGCTTACCAGGGCAAGAGGAAGCATCTCCACCTATATTCTGAATCCAGTCCCTACAAATAGTAGATAGATAGGAAAAGATGGTTTGTTATAGTCTACCCATTCCTTCCCTCCATATGCACCCTCCCTCCACACACACAGATCAACAGAAGATCTTTTCCCCCAAAGTTATGCATTGGTGGCACCGATAATATTTGAGGAAGCATGAATGTGAATCAAACAAGTAAGGCAAGGAAAAGAGAGACAGGAAAGGTGCACAAGTAGCTGGGTTCGGGTGTCTTTTTTTTTTTTTGCTGACTACAGCGTATGAGTAGCAAGATTCATGAGAATCCGGAAAGTTGCCATTAGGCAAAAGTGAGCCAACTGGGCTTACGCTGGTCAAGCATCAAAGTAGTTTGGAGTGTCTTGGTATGGAAGGCAATGATCAACTTTTCAGTGTACAAAAGATGGAGGTCCAAAGGGGTTTTCTGGTTGGAAAATAAACTAATATGTATTTACAGGCTTGTTCACATCTTTTTAAACATTTCAGCAATCTTTAAATTGCTTTTCTCCTATAGTTAGGAGCAGCTTTGTCCCCCCCCCCCCCGAATATCTAGTTTTAATTGTCCCTGCAGCTGGGGGTAAATGGGAGAGAAAAATAGGCAGCTATGCCCCAAACTGGGATGCAAAAGGCCACAACTTTCACTTATATACTTTATTTGTAGTCTGCCTTTCTCCCTGAGACTCAAGGCAGATTACACAGTGTAAATCAATGCAGTCAATAGCATGTAACATCTAATTAAGCAACATAATCAGACTAGGATTACAGAAATGTGAAACAAAGCAAGAAGTATTAGAGATGATACGTTAACAATGCAGAAAATGGAATTTTAGAAGTACAAGATAATGTGGTGGGAGCAGAATACATACAGAAAACAGATAATGCATATTATACACAGTAGTGCAATCCACAGTCTCATTCTTTGTAACCATTGTTATATAGGCCTGTTAACTTTATAGAAATGCCCCCCTGAAGAATTCCGTTTCACATAGATTATGGACAGACAGAAGAGTGGGAGCCTCCCTGACCTTCTTGAGCAAGTAATTCCACAAGGTGGGGCCACAATGGAGAATGTATGGCTAGTTGTCAACCAAGACACAGCTGCTTTTAAATGAACATAAGGGCAGGCAAACACAGTCTAAGGATAAAGAGTTCAACTTGCACCTAGCAAACCTATGTTCAGATATGCGCAACTTGCACTTTCCTATATGTAAAATAAGGTTTCAAAAGGCCGAAGATATAAAGTAGCAGACTCAAAAGGGGGGGGGGATCCCTTACATTCTGTGCCAAGAAATGTAGCGCATAGATGTTTAATATATTCTCCTTCTGCCAATTGGGCTTAAGGGCAAAGAGCTCTGCACTCCACAATTCATGAGAACCTCCCCCCGAAACCTGCTCCCCTTTCTCCCCAAGTGTTTGCTCACAAACTAGAAGCCTATCTCTGAAATTCTAGGAACTAGAAACTTGCTTTTAAAGAGAAAAAAGAATGATGGGGTTCTAAGGACATTAGGTTTTCTAAAGGGTAAAGGTTCCCTTGCTCAAAAGCCAGTCGAGTCCGACTCTAGGGTTGTGGTGCTCATCTCCGTTTCAAAGCCAAAGAGCTAGCGCTGTCCGAAGATGTTTCCGTGGTCATGTGGCTGGCATGACTAAACACCAAGGCGCACGGAACGCTGTTACCTTCCCACCGAAGTGGTACCTATTTATCTCCTTGCAATTTCTTGCTTTCGAACTGCTAGGTTGGCAGGAGCTGGAACTAGAGACAGGCGCTTACTCCGTCATGCGGCAACTCGGGTCTCGAACTGCTGAACTACTGACCTTCCACAGCCTGCAGTTCAGCGTCTTAACTCACAAACTAGAAGCCTATCTCTGAAATTCTAGGAACTAGAAACTTGCTTTTAAAGAGAAAAAAGAATGCTGGGGTTCTAAGGACATTGGGTTTTGTACTCCATACCAATTTCTGCAGCCAGTTTGTCCACAGAGCTGAAGAATGCACACAGTTCCGCCTTAATTAGTTGATCCAGTTAACTATATATACAGATTATCTCCTTTGTAGTAAAAAACTTGGTAAATGATAAGCATTACCTTTCAGTCTCACTGTCTCCAAGGCTGACACAGACAGATTCTTGGGGATCCCAAGCACAGTATGGATCTCTTGCCAAGACACAGTCAACACAGGTGCTGTACTTGTCACAAAAGGCTAGAGGGGACTGCACAACCCCAGCATTGGACCCTGCATAGAGGAACTGATTGCCCTGCAGAACGTGGAATTGGGAAAAGGAAGCACATCATAGATGGATGGCCACTGTTCTCATTCAAGCATCTAATGTAAGAATTATTACAATTGCCAAGACAAATCTAAACACATCACCTTGCACATCAAAGGAAGCAAAAACTGAACAGTAATGGAAAATACTGTGCCTGGTACCGTAAATATTCAACCTGGGCAACAATTTTCAACTGCTTGGTAATGATAAAGTCTCCTTATTCTATTTTCAGAATAGGATATTCACTGCTGAATAGGGGTGTCATTAGGGTCTACCCGAACTGAAAATATACCCCCAAAACACCTTATCAGAATTGTTCAGGTATATTTCTGCTTCCTAAATGTATCCGGGTTTTCTTGGGAAAATCGGGGGGGGGGGATCCCAGATATATTCGGGAATTACCAGTAGATCCGTAAACAGAGGACAGGTAGGAGCAGATTGCTACTACCTCCCAGCTGTTTGCCAGGCTTCTACTGCAGTCCCTTTGATGTTTAAAGGGATCAGGATCAGCTGTGCTGGGGGAAGCAGACTGTTTTAACCAGCTTGGGTTGGGATTGGTTTCTTGTACAGACCCACGGCGTGCAGATCCAGGAGCTGGCTCCGTACCAGTATTGGGATCTGGGACTTTTCAGTAATACCAAATTTTTGGGGGGTCCAATAGACCCAAACCGAAAAATACCGAATTTTTTTAAATTGCATACCTTTACTGTTGAATCTCCATTTATGTGAATCCCTGTTGTCCACTCCAGAAGAGCACAGGGATGGCTCTATGATATTTTTAAAAGAGCTAAGCACATTGTGTCTAGTAGTCAAAGGAATAATCACAGCCTGTCAAAGTTCCTCTATAAACCTGCTCTGCAACCCACAAATCGAGTGTACAAGTATGGGTTGTTATTCAGTTTTCCATTCCTTTGATACTTTTATAGTGGGTTTGGATAATCTGGCCGTTGGTGCAATGTGGCAGGCAGTGTGATCTGAAGCAGAGTCAGAAGGATGTAAAACTCTGCTTAAGACTTTCAGTTGTTCCTGTGCCATAATAACGCTAACCTACCTACCTGTTTTTCTGAATCTGCTATCTATATAAAGCTAACTTTGTGGATAACACTTTTGTTTTCTGATTGCATGGTTACTGACCTTTTAAACATTTTTTGTCTTGAACAGTTGATAAAATGAGGAGGCAAAACTTTTTACTAAGTTCCTCCCATTTCTGTTTATATATGCACATTTAAAATAGGGAAAACTCCAAGTTACATCTTCCTTTAATCTTTTGTATTTTGGTGGGAGTTTTTTTGGTCCACAGCTTATTATTTTGCTTTTTATATCTGTAGAAAAGCCAGCCATGAAATCCCACATCCCATTTTATCTGTATCTTTGTCTCACCAGAAATCTAAATGACTTCTCACAAGACAGATGATACTGTCACTCCAGTGTCGCCCTATTTGCTATGACAGTGACAAAGCTGCGATAAACCTGTCTGAACCAGTTTAATAGGCGGCTATGCAGATATGCCAGAATAATGTTTTCTTGATTTATGTTATTTTAAACTTCTTGCCTCCTCAGACAGCCTTCGCAATCCACCCCCCCACACACACACTTTGATTTTCTGAACATAAACAAAAGTTGGGGAACATGGCGGCGTATCACTTATTTATTTACTTTGCTTATATCCCACCTTTCTCCCCAATGTGGACCCAAAGCAGCTTACATCATTCTCCTCTCCTCCAGTTTTGTTTTCACAACAACCCTGTGAGGTAGGTTGGGTTGAGAGTATATGACTGGCCCATGGTCACCCCGCAAGCTTCCGTGGCAGAGTGGGGATTCAAACCTGGGTCTCCCAGATCTTAGTCCAGCAGTTTAACCAGTACACCACACTGGTTCTCAACACACGTGGCTCAGAATGAGTAGAAAAGGCCTGCTGGGTGAACAGCTACATGGCAAATGGCACCTGATCTTCCTGGCCCTGGCCATCTTTCCCCCACAGCCATGGTTGCTGCAGCAGGCTTCTCTTAGGAAAGATGGTCATGTTATCCTGAAAAGAACTTTTAAGGAATGTAGTCAACATATTGCTGCCCTGCCGGGGGTGGGACTGTCTTGGCTTTACAGAACTAGACATGAATAGTGGGGCTTGGGTTGTAGTAACACTATCCCCACTCCTGGTACCGTGCTCTCTGAAATGCTGTTCGACTGCAAGCACCACTATAAGAAAAGGCAGTTTTAAATGAGCTGCCTGAAGTTCTCAGGCTAAACCATTCTGAGTTTAAGCATTCAAGTCACCACTTTCCTCAAGAGAGCAGTACTCTTGTGAAGTCTCCATTCCTGGTACTGATCCGGACCCACTCATCACCTGGTGAGGCAACTGAGCCTGTCACAGAATTACAGTCTCACACCAGACATTACTGAACTCAACGGCTGCATTTCCCCTCTTTATATGAGCAGGATATTGTAGCTTTCCTCCATCCTGCTGTTCCTCTAAGTCAACTGTACCTTTTTGGAAGAAAGCAGCAGTGTCTGAATGGGCTCAAAATTTGGAAAGAGCTGGATTTCTTCAATAATATGCATTCCATTCTCATAGCTGATAGCTTTGTGAAGGGCTCCTCGATCTGCAACAACCAATATGCATGTATGGAACTGCTTTAATAAAATACCTAAACACGAGCTATAGTTGGCCTCTCTGCAGATGAGACCTTCAGCTATCAGTCCCCCCAGCTGTCTGTCCCTCCAATGACTTTCATTGTGCTACACAACTGCCACCCACTCAGAGCTACCTTAAGGATGCAAGTTTGTAGATTGTTTTGTATAATTTGGGCTGGTCCTAATAAAAAGTGTAACACAGCCTTTAGTTTGGGATTTTGCTTTGAAGCAATGCAGCTGCCTGCAACATCTTTCTGCCTTAAATATTGACAGGCTGGTGGGGCCTGGAAGAACAGGACATTAATTTCTGAAACACAGTCCTAAATTAACTGAATGTTAAATGCTTTAGTTACTGGTTTTGGTCCAACTGATTTGTACAGTCTAACTCAGGGGTGTCGAACTCATTTGTTATGAGGGCCGGATCTGACATAAATGAGACCTTGTTCGGCTGGGCCATGTGTGGCATAAAATGTAATGTCAGGTAGCGGAGATATAAACTTTATAAAGGACACAAACACAAAGGAGGTTTTTTTACTTAATAAAAACATGCTTAAAACATTAGCATTCTTGCAATATTTTCTTAATTTAACAGTGTCTGATAACTGACACCCCTTGCTCTGAATTATTGCATCAAAATATCTGTGCTGTTGCAATCTTGGTATGCTGTTCAGGTGTGCATTTGTAAGCTGCAAACCAACAATGATGCAGCAGCAGAAGAACTGGAAGAAGAAGCAGAAGACAACCAGTTCCACTGCGGGCCTGATAGAAGCCCTTCGGGGTCCTGATCCGACCCCCGGGCCGCATGTTTGACACCCCTGGTCTAACTAGTCAGGCAAAGATTAATGCCTGCTGCACTGACAGTCCTTTATTTATTTAACATTGTTTATATACCGCTCACCCCCTGAGAGCTCTGAGCGGTTTACAGTGTACAATTTGCTAGTCTCAGGGTGCACTGAATGACAACACAGGCACAGACCCTGCAAGACTGGCTCAACTGTTCGGTCTGACTAGAAAGCCATTGAAGCTTAATGCAATACTACATAGTTAAGAGTACGTAAAACAAACCTGTACTGATGAACATGACATCATACATAGTGCCATTCAGTGCTCTGACTCGGTCCACCACAATCTGTGTATACTTCACATCCCTTTTTATCAGTCTGGGTCTGTCTCCTATTGGGGTCACAGAATCATCCATCAGAGGATGGTCTTTAACAAACTGTAGCGTTTTATCAGGTAAGCTGAGTGTGCTCAGGTAACCATCTGCTCCGGCCTCCTTGTTTATGCACTGTCCCAAGAGAAGGGAGGGGAGGGGAGGGGAGAAGATCAGACTGGCGTAGTAATCGAGGTTTCCTTAACACAGATCACATGATTTATGAGAAGTTTACAAAGGAACATAAAGAGACTGGAAACAGAATAAAATGGTACTAACATTATTAATGCGTCCTTTATAGAACTTATAGAAAGAGTAAAACAGGAGTCCCCAACCTTTTTCAATCTGCAGGCACCTTTGGAATTCTGAGCATGATGGGCACAGCTGCAATGGCTGTTGCAGGAGGTGGAGCCAGCCACAGAACAGCTGCCACAGTTTACCTTCAGTCACACAATGAAGAAGATCCTTGTGCTGTGGTGGTAACTGCTCCCACAGCCATGTTTCTAAAAACTGCACAGCCAATCAAATCTCCAAAGGCCAAACAGGAGTCTTGCTAGGCAACAGCCCCACCTGGCCCCACCCACTTTCTAAAGGCACTTGACAGGCACCAGGAGAGTTGCCAACAGCAGCACCCACAGGCACCATGTTGGGGACCACTGTCTTAAACGATGGACTGACAATACAGATAGTCCTCTGGTCTGGAAATCATTTTCCTCTAATATGTTTGCCTGAATCAGGCTGGCCTTTAGGTATACAAAAATCTAAACTCTTAGGTTTGTCTTAAAACAAAGAGTTCAGCTTTGCATTTTCAGCCCAAAACATTTAAAGCAAGCAACTAAACATGACAGGCAAAACCATTAAGCAAAGGGAAACACTATGAGTTGGATCCTACCACTGTTCTGCTAGCAGTGGAGTCTCACTTTCAGAAGGTGGTGGAAAACACGCCCACCTTTTAGGAACAAAAGCCAATGAACAGCAGTCAGCGCCGATCCAGACTTACCGCTCCAGGCCGGGGTCTTGGAATCTCTCCATTGTATCGCACCCACTTTGTGTGGGACTGTTCAACTGTGGCACTTTGCATATATTTCCCTTTGGCAAAAACATCCTCCACTGTAGAAATGTTGTAGGCACACACAGCAGATAGGCCTACATTGTTTCTTCAAAAGGGAAAAAAATTATCAAAATTAATATGATCTTACTCTTTTGTAGAAGTAACAAATATGTCTTTAAAATGAAAAAATGTTACTTACAACTGCGGTGAGAAAACCCCATAAATTACTGGCTCCCTCAGGCTTGGAGACTTCAGGATAAAGACATCATTCACTATATTGAAAATTAAATTCTTATCCGGCGCAGAGCAAAGCATCCTGGCCTTGAGATAGGAAGTCCATTTTTTTTGTAAAGTCCGAAGTCCGCCTTGGTCCCTCTTTAAACAGAACAATACAAAAATGTCAAAGAGTAAGCAGCTTGTTCCTCCCATGTCAACATACAGTGACACTCCTAGAAGTTCAGCAATATTGCTATATTAAAGTGGAGAATACCAACACTGATTGGAAGGAAGAAATGTCCTCCCTGAGATATTTCTGAAGACACATTAGGTAAGCCACCAACATGGTTACTTTTAAGTATATAACAAAAGAAGTCAAACTGTGTTCTGAGTTTCACTGGGTAAACATAAGCCAACCATCACAAACAAAATGGACTGCTAAAGATGCAGGGGGATTTACTGAGGAAAGAAGCAGGGGGAATACACCACAAACAAGTAACAGGAGAGGCAATGAACAACTCTATCCAGAAACTGAGCCAATGCCTGTTTGGAAAAAAGCTGCAATAAGGGCTCCCTCACATGATTTAGGGTTTCTGGTGGTACCTCTGTGGTGTGGGACAGAGCTGTTATTTCAATGGCTCCCCTGCTGCAAAGGTAATGCGGAAACGGATCTTAGTGATGGGAATGAGCTTAAAGTATACATTTCTTAACAGGAAACATTTCTAACACTAACAGAATTAACTGTGCAGTTCTTACAAAGAAGCAATTTTAAAATATCCAATTTCTGTTGTGTCAACACTTTCTAAATATTAAATGTTTTAATATGAAATATATTCAAGGCAGGTAAAATACTGTCATTGAGGAGGCTTCCAAAAATGGAAGACAACACATACTTTTCTCAAGTAATGGCAAGGCATGTGGGTAGTTTCCTCCCCCAATCTATATATAGCTCCACAAAATTATAATGAATGGAAATCTAGTTGTACAGCTATATCTCTGCCAATCTAAAGTAATGACAAACTTCCAGCAGGCAGAGGACCATCACTACTGTGCCAAAGTAAATTTGATTCACAATGTTGCAATATCTCATATCTTGCAGACTGCATAAGTTTATGTTGTTTAATTACACTTTGCAATTTAAAATCATATCTCTAAAAAAAACCTTACCATCCTCCCCACCCTGGTTACAAATTATATGGCAACTTGCTCATTGGATGCTTATAAATCAATTTAATCTTGTGTCAGGTCAGGCAGTACAAGCTGCTACTATTATGCTTAAAAAACATGAACAGTGACAGAATCGGGTGGATTGTGATAAGAAGAAGGAAACAAAGAGTCTTAAACTACATAATTCAATTTTCACAGTAATTAGCCAGGATGACCAACTTTCTGTTTATCAACAGAAAAGATTTTTTAATTGTTGAAAGCATTTTGAAACACAGTTTATTTTAAGATCATAAAATCCACGTCCATGCAGAAGATTCTCATAGTTTGGTGCTGTAAAACACAAGAAGAACCTTGTGGAATAGCAGGCCATTTCTCTGCTGCACTCTCTAACAAGAGCCAACAACTGAAGATTGCTCATGATGGCCCATGTTGCATTAGAGAGAACAGAAAGCGCTGGAAAATGAGTAGTGTCCAAATGAATTCTTCCTACAATCCCCCCAACATGGAAAAAGGGGAGGGAATGGTTCATCTTGTCCCACCTTACAGACTCTAGCTATCCTTGGAATCATCAGCTTGCCAAGAAATTCATATTCCACAGACACCTCCGTGAAAAAAAAGTATATTTTGTCATCATCGTCATTTGCATTGTCTGGATCAGCTCTTATCACATCAGCAAAAATGAAATTTGGTTCTGCACAAGGAAAACACAAATATAAATTAGTTTGGTTTTTAAAAAACAAAAAACAAAAAACGGAGTTATTCTCCCCAGCCATCCATTTCCCCATTTATTCTAATCATAGCCACCTTATTTACTGATGAGAAAGCATTTCCTCTAACGGCAAAACCAGGCACTATGGGACGACCCTGTTTTAGAGATTAATTCGGCCATTTAAAAATGCTATGAGGAATTGATCCTGAGTGGGCCTACAGCACAGCGGGACAGATAATCTTGTTCCCCCCATACACATATCTTTTTAAGTGGCGCAAAACCAGCTGTTTTGGCACTTGAAAAGGTGCAGGGAGGGGAAACAAGATTGCCCGGTTCTGCAAGCCTAAAATGGTGTTGGCATCCACAGGGTGGACCTGGGGACACTATAAGATATAGCTTGGTCCTAAGCCCTAGTATCAATATTAAAAGTATTTTGGTTGTTAGCAAATGTTATTACCTTTATATTCTGTGGACAACAATTAACTATTTTCATGATCCAAGACACTTCTGAACTGACAATTCTGGCTTACTTTTTCTGGAATTTTTAGTGTAGGCATCAAGCCCCTATATAGCTCACAAAACCACAGCATTTCTCTGGAACAGGAATACTTGAAGAAATCCTATGTTCTGCTCTTGTGGAAAGATCTTATGCACTGCTAGGACTGAGAACTGACTCACAAGACAGATTTGTCAGTCATGAATAAAGCACAACTCTAAATACTGCTGCCATTTATTTTCCCTTAGTTTTCTCAAAAGCTCAGTCATGTTTTGATTATTCACAAACAAAATACTCTTGGATAAACTAAATAAATGTACAAAACATGATTCCAGTAGAGAAGTTCACAGGATTGCACATTTAGGAGTAAGCCAACGCCTCTTTCTCTAGCTATTTCCCCCCCCCCCAGCCTTCTTACCATTGAGCCAAGGAATTGCATATTCAGTCCTTAGTGGACTTTGCTGTGAGTTTCTAAAGATAATAGGTTCACTTCCCAAGAAATTGTAAGACGTTCCAGCATAAAGTTCCCCATCTTCAGAAACACAAAACAAAAAATGAATGAATCAGAAATATCCAGTAATGTAATAGTTTAAAGCAGTATTTTTCACTGTGTGAACTATTCCCATTACATATTCCATGTTTTCCTCCAGATAAGCTTTCTGTAGCTGAGCATGGCAGTTCACACACACCTACTGTGCTATTTCTTTCCTCATCAGTCACCTCCTACAATCTCCTCCTCTTGTGCTTGTACTCCCCTTTGGGGATTAAGGTGTGCCACAAATGAAGCAAATAAATGTTACAATTAAAAAATGCTAATTAAAATGATGTTAACCCAAACTGACATTTACTTCCTGTGAATTAAGTAGAAGTACAGAAGTTTATGGTAAACATAAAAAGAACATGTTTTGGAATGGGGTAGATGGATAATATTTTTTTAAAAAACAGAGTGTAGTGAAATTATCTCAAATATGACAACTTCCCCCCCGTTTGCAAAGTTCCCATGTGCGGACACCAAACTGCTTCTTGGTTTTGGGATATTTCAAGGAGCAATTTGAGAGTCTAGAAAATGTACATGCATACCTCTGGATCCTGGCTATGGTTATGAACGGATATAGGCAAGCAAGATCTAAGGCTTGTACTTACCCACCATAACTGATGTATAACTTTGTGCAGGATCAAATGGACATCTTCCTTTACCATCTTCATTTCTACCCCCAAGTTCAAATGATAACAGATTCTACAAAACAATGAAACCATATACTTCATTGTACATTTCAAATAAAACAGTCACCATTCAGCACACAGTTGCAGACACTGGAATCTTTCTGATTTAAGTGGGATTACAGACTTACAAAGGACAAATTCACGCAGCCACTTTCAATGCATTTTTGACCTGCTGAAGTCAATGTGTTAAATAGCTGTAATTGTTTCAACATGCTTCCAGATTTTGATTTACTACACTCCTGCACATTTTCGAGAAGCGACTTGCACAATGAAGGGGTGAGATGTAGTCTTAAGACATGCTGAAGCAATTCATATGGCTAGCTCAGAACACAACAACCCATTAGAAATTCAGAATTAGCCAGTGTCCTTAATTGTGCCTAAAAGGTATGCTATAGAAATAACTGCAAAATATAAAGGCTGTGATCCAGGCAAAAACTATGACAATTTCAGCCAGAGGAAATGAAGCACTCGATTTAATGCTTCTACAGAAATGAGTAAAAACCTCAAATGCTTAACTATGATTGGATCGTACAGCGCCTTCTTCAAAATTAAGACATTCAATTTTCTCAGTCCCATGACATTATTGCATGAATAAATACAAACATATTACAAAGTACCACAGCAAATAATTGGATTATGTAGAATAAACACATATATGTCTGTAGTCCCCCATTCCCATTTTTAGTTCAGCTATTCCCCCAACATGCATACATGCACACATGCGAGTGGGGTCATTTCCAGAAACACACAGAGATACCCATTCTATTGAAAAGCAACCATGTGTGCAATAACATTCTTTGAGAACAACAAGGATTTCAAGCATGTGGAGCTAAGGTTAGAAATCCATATTTAGATGCCTAACTGGAAAGAAGAGAAAGAAGAAAGGCAAGACAAGTTAGGTAGCAAAAGTGAAAAATGAAGCCTAGACTGGAAATTCAGGAAGAAAAGACAGACATCTGGTAAAGAACAAAGAATGTGCAGTAAAAAATAAATGAAGTAAATAAAACAGTTTGTATGATAAAGACAATGAGATAGGTGAGGATATCTATGAAGAATTTCGAGAACCAGGATGCACTCCTGGAAAATGGAAATGTCAACAAACCAACATACTGCTGGGCAGATTTGAGCAGTATAATTCTACTTGCCAGAGTAATCCAAGCATACTACCCAGAATGTTAAAGAACCCTTCTAATGGTAGGTACACCATTAAAAGGGTAAAATCATAATGAAGCAACTGAGAACTTAGTAATACATAAATGAAAGATCCAACAGCTCCAAGGGCATGGCAAAAAGAGGGGAATTTCTGGCAATGTTCTGGAAAGGATGACAGACTTACAGATAAGGGAGACAAGCAAGGCCACAGTCTAACATCAAGAATCCTGTCCTTGAGAGCAAAGTAAGATCCGAGAAAAGGAGAGTGATGATAGAGTCAGAGACATGGAAGGCAGACAGGAAGTTTTTTAAGCACAGGGAGGACTTCATTCTGAGGCATTCAGTAGTATGAAGCTATGGTAGAGTCAGGAGCTGACAGAGATAAGACAGGCAGAGAAGGGAATCAGAGAGTTTAGGGGGAGACAGAAACGGGAGCAAGCACAGGATGTTCACACAATTCAAAAGTTGGGGACATATATACAGGAGAACCACATCAACAAAATGGGATGGAAACAAAGTGCTCACTGGGAAATGATTAATAAACTCTAGAAAACCCAGAAAAGAACAGAAATACACACAAATGCTGTACATGATTTTCTCCATGTCATCACTCATTTCAGCAGAGCCAGACTATTTCAGATGCTCCCAAAAATAAATTTCATTGTCAAACTTACCAGATAATCACAGACTGGCTGAAATGCATTTGTTCCACACACATAAAGGAAAGTATCATTCAGTTGTTGTAAGACACGAACATAGTTAAGGCACTCTGTCTGTAAAAAAGAAGAGATAAGGAAAGGAAGAAAAGAATAATTTTAATAAACTGCATCCCTAGTAGTTTATTACAAAGAACTAGCTACCTCTGTTGTTTCAAGGCCATGCACATTTATGCAGAAGTTACTTACTATCATATAACCTGTTCAGAATTTGGAAGCTTATCTGTTCACTCCCTAAGAAATGCAAATACAATTTAAAAAGAAGTATCATGAACTGATAATATTTAAGACTGGACTTCTCTCTATAAAATAAGCTCTCATGTTAGCTATATTATTTGTATGTTCATAATTGCTGTATAATCCAATATTGTTACTAGACTCCATAAACCATATATTGTTTGATCACAGATTATTAAATTCACTTACTGTCTAGTTTAGTTAATATGCTGCTTCTATCTATCTAGTACGGCTCATACGGCTATCTCCTTAAGCAGAAATTGAAACCAAAAAAAAAATTTTTAAGACCTTACTCAGTATTATTTCTTTTATATTTGATTATTGCACCTATACATTTTGCCACTGAGAGGGTGATACAATCATTTGTATCAGATACTAGCCATGACACCTGGGCTCACACATTTAGCAATTCCGTGTCTTTAAGTAAACGGGTGACTTAAATTAGCCTTCAATTTGTTGAATATAAGGCACTCCATAATCATATGTTCGATGATCTTGATTTTAATATGCTTCATGTAGTATAAAAGAAAAATCTGTGACCTTTAAGTGATCCCTCTGATCCAAATACTAAAATTTAAAGATGGATAGAAAGTTTCCTAAGCATGATTACTGTTCAAAGAACTGCTTTGTTGATGAGTTTCCCACAATCAGTAAACAGCATTTAGAGAGCCAGCTAATGTAAGGTGATCAAAATACTGTGAAGTCCAGCAAATTTAGAATCCTCTAGCAACCATTTTGTAGTCTAAGCAACATCTGCTGAATTGCCTCTTTTGCTGTGTCTTCAAATCTGCATACACTCTACAAGAACCCAGAAAACTGGCTGTGTTTGAAAAGTATTTCTCCTCCCCCTCTAGATTGGGGGCCATTTAGCACTGGCAATCTCCTCACCTAAGATTAAGTGCTGCATGATGGCATTGATTTCACTAGTGTTTAGATAAAACTACCCTAAGAGAAAGTTAGGCTTGTCAGGTGTCCAGAAAATCAGCTACCAGAGAATATCTGTGTCATGGATCAAAACCAGATGTTAAACTATCGCAGAAGATAGCTTTAAAATTCCATTTGGTGGTGGTATCACAAAATTCGCAGATCTAAGAAAAGCTGACCCTCCCCTTTTATCCACATCCTCAAACATGTTATAGCAAAAAGCCAAGTCTTCAGTGAGAAGAAAATGGGCAGAAACAGCAGCTTGCTTTGCTGACTCCCTTCTACACTGCTGCTTTGAAAAGAAAAATAGTTGCATTCATTCATATCGTCTACTAACTCTAATCTATGGCCAATAATGAAATACACATTTATTTAAAATATTTTCATCCTTCTCCTTGCAGATACTTAAAGCTTGGACAGGGCCAGACATGCAAGCCCTAAAGTGCAATTTAAAGGGCAAGAGCAAAAGAGCTCTTGGCCCTTGGTTCATATATAACCTGAAACCTGTGCTGAACAGCCTTGTTGCTCAGAACCTGTGGCGGACAAGTTTGTTCTGTTTGTTCAATTGGTAAATTTTTCAGTAGTTTTCTGCAAGCTGCTTTAGGAAGAAAAATGGCATACAAATGGCATTAAATAAATCAATAAAACAAAAATACCACTGAATGAACAGAGTGGCAGACATTTAACTAAGCGTAAGAGAAAAATTAACTCCACTTGAATTCTTAGTACTGCATTTCAAATTAAGAAAACCCACCTGTTTAGATTTGCCCTTTTCCGCACACTTAGTTTTCTTGTCTTCAGTGACTTTCCACAACACCTGGGGGGAGGGGGGGGGGAGAAAAGCCACAAATCAAAAAGCCTCCTAAGTGTTACCACAAAAAGTAATTTATACATTACAAGGCCTCCCTGAAGTAAATGCAGGTTAAGATGCAACAAACATGAAATTAAGCAAACTCCGGAGCACGATGGAAGACAGGAGGGCCTGGCATGATGTGGTCCATGGGGTCACAAAGAGTTGGACTTGACTGTGCGAATGAACAACAACAACAAGATACAAGACATTTCCTACTCATTTCTCCTCTTGAGAAAGGAAATTTCTAAACACAGATACTTTTATTCAGTACCTGCTAAACTAATGCAAAAGATAAATGGCTTCAAATCATTAATTGTGTTTCCTTCATTACATGTCCTTGATTTTCTTACGCTTTAGAGCCTGAAGGCTAAATGGCTTAAGTTTGCCCTTTTGTCCTGACAGCCATTTCTTAAGCTGAGCAGACAATACAGATAACATATGAGCAAACACAAATAAGACTACCATGCGAGAGGTTTATCATCTCATGGCATTTTACCTCCTTTCAGACTGTCTCTGTGACATTCAGCTCTAATTCTCAACACACTTTCTTGGAATATAGTATTTCCATTGAACTCAGAAGGCCTTACTTCTGAGTAAACTATTTTAGGATCATCCCCTTGGTTATGGTTAGTGTCAGGAGTATGAATATGATATATATTTTTTAAAAATCATGCTTACCTCTTGCTTTTTTTCAGAAATGTTTAATGAACTTAGCGCAAAAATTATTTCTCTAGCTCCCACATATAAAATGTCTTTGTCTTCACTTAGTAATAAAGTTGAGTAGTTGAACGTTTTTGGCTCTTGAAAATGTACTAGATGTATTTCTGTTAAAATACAATAATGTCAGGATACATTTTAATTCAAACAAAGACTACGTATATGATTGTCTAATTTATTACACTGTCAAGACAATTCATTCTAATATCTTTAAAGCAGCGCAATCTCCTTACTGGAGACTAGGAGGCTTTAGAAATGGAAGTGAAGTGGGGTATCCAATTAGCAGAATTAACCATATCTAAGACCATGTCTTCACAATGCTGCACAGGGTGAAGTGGATGGAATTTGCTTCCTGCATGTGGACATACAAACCATAAAGTTATGAGTCACTCTCACCTTGAGTTAAACAGATCTTTGGACCAGGAACACCTTCAATTTAAAAATGACTTTTGATGGTCCTGATGTAGACCAAAAATGAAGGGACTTATTTAATGAATAAATTGTCCCTTACTTCTTGTTTTTTAGGCTCAGGTCATAAATGATGTATTTTATATTGTTATTAATTGTACTTTATGGTATGTATTTTAATTATCTGTTCCACTGAGGAAGGCCATTTGGTCAAGACACATCTGGTTTTAATGAATATTTTTATTATTTGCTATGTATTACAGTTTTGCTAATTTAATATATGTAAAGCCATTATTATTTATTGTGTTACTGGGGCTGATATTGAAAATCATGATGTTTGAGACGGAACAGTGTGTAGACAGAAAGAACAGCTGGGGGCAAAGGACAGTTCCTAGAATAACCTCCAACACAGAAAACTAGAAGAAAAACTTCTTCTGTGGAAGCACTGAATAAGTGATTAGACTAGTAAAGAGTGCACTTATAGAAGTATAAGAGTGCACATAGAAGTATAGTGTTCATCAGCTGTTCGGGGGGGAAACCCACCTGGAACAACTTAATGTTATATCCAACTAAATTGGATATAGTTCTTTGATTTTCTATTTTATTTCTCTTCTTCCTTTAATAACTGCAACAACTTGAATAACATTTTAAATAAAGTTCTGCTGAACTCACTTTTCTCTGTAGACACATAGAATGCTTACAATGGTCTTATATAAGACAGTTAGCCTGAACTCCCTAGACCAATACTCAGTTTTTTTTAAAAAAAAAAAAGTTCAAAGAACTGTTTTATGTTAACTGAACAAAATTTAAAATCTCCGAGTTGCCTTGAACCTGGAAATGAACCCCTAAACTGAAGGTTTTGCTAAATGTAATCAGTGAAAAACTGAACTACTATGTAATCACACTTATCTTTACCTGAAGTTATTGTTCTTACCTTTGTGGTCCCAAGTGATCCGAGGCACTGGACCAAATGCTATTGTCATTCCAATAAATAAACTCACAGTGCCATACAGAATGACAGCCATGTTAAGTGTCCTTGTTCCGTGAAAGTAGATGGGGAACTACAGAAGCAAATGTTCATCTGGTGGGGAAATGTCTCTTGAGTTCAGAGAGTTTCTGAAAATACCAACATTGTCAAGCGATGAATGCAAAGCAGATGTCTTGCAAGGAAGTTTCCAAATTTATATTATCTGACAGGTCACTTCACCCAGTGACCACGTGTTCGCCACAATACTGAACAGCTAGGACTTTCAGAATGAACCTCAGCACCACTTCTGCTTCTTGAACACATTCTTCTGCTAAGTTAGGATGCTATAAAAACCTGCATGGAATAAGAGCAGCAAGGTGAAAGGAAGGAAGTGGTCATACGTTAAAGACCAAATAGTTTCCAAGTCTTCCCACGATTTTATTAAAGGAAACAGCAAATTTCCAGTACAGAGGAAGCTATTAACAGTGTTAACTTTAATATGTCAACTCCATATCTACAAACAAGCTTTTACAGGGGAAAAACCCAAGATGCATTGTAATATTTTAGCAAAAAGGAAAAATAGAATCATGCAAAGTTAAACAGAGGTTTGGTACTGAGGTATTTTGTTCAGTCTAGATGCTTAAAAAAAGGAACTCCGTGCATCCCTATCTCTTTTTTTTAAACTAGTTTTCCAGCCCATGCGTTTGCAGAGATAAAATGCTACCCCAAACTGGTAAAATGTCGAATCTTAAATGTATTTAGGGTTGTCAGCTTCCTGGAGAAAGAAAAATGGCCTGTTCTTTTAACAGAGATGTAATTGGCTCAAGTGGTTAAGACGCTGAACTGCAGGCTGTGGAAGGTCAGTAGTTCAGTGGTTCGAGACCCGGGTGCCGCAAGACGGAGTGAGCTCCCGTCTCTAGTTCCAGCTCCTGCCAACCTAGCAGTTCGAAAGCAAGAAATTGCAAGTAGATAAATAGGTACCACTTCGGTGGGAAGGTAACAGCGTTCCGCGCGCCTTGGTGTTTAGTCATGCCGGCCACATGACCACGGAAACGTCTTCGGACAGCGCTGGCTCTTCGGCGTTTGAAACGGAGATGAGTACCGCAACCCTAGAGTCGGATTCGACTGGCTTTCGAGCAAGGGAACCTTTACCTTTACCTTTAATTGGATGTTATTTACCTTCATGCCATGAAAAGCTTCTGATGCCAATTTCCACACATGGATTGCATGGATAGGACATTTTTCTCCAGGCCTGTTGGCAACTATTGTCCCAGAGCATTAACTTCTTCTTATATAACTCAACACAAGTTATAAAAGGAGCTCTATGTCTATCTTAATTTTGATCATGCTGCAGCATGACAGTAAAACAGAACCTTGGAATCATCTTACATTCTAATGGTTAAGTGTGGCCGAAACTGCAAACAGCTAAATCTGCAGATCATGGGCACACTGACTGTAAACAGACAGTTCTGCAAACTTAAAAAAATACATTGGGAGGCTTAAATCTCCCCTAGAATTAAAGAGTGTTGTCTGTTCATGCACAGATGGTGGACTTACCTTCGCTCTGGAGAGCTGGTGGTAGTGATGTCAAGGAGTCACTCCAAGCTCAAAGCGACTTCTGGACACCACTGTTGTGGTGGTGGGGCCCAGAGGTGGCTGGAGAGGCATGGATCTGTGCTGGGTTTAGTGACAGGGGAGGAGGAGGCTGAGATAGCTTCTGTGAGTGGCCCCCACTTGTCCTACATCTAATGCTGAACCTGGTGCCCAGGTGGATCAATAGACCTGGAGAATGGGGCCAGGTTCAGATAGGGGGCATTCTTCTGGAGACCCGAGACACCTTCCACATTTTCAGAAACATGCGACCCTCCCTCCAAACGGAAATGGGTTATATCCCCTCTTTCAGAGGAACACTGCCCATCCTTGCACAATGTAAATCGACTATGAGTGGAAGGGGGGGGGAGCCAGCCAAATAGAGCCACTTGAGAACTCACACCTAACACCATCTCTGCTTCTGCCACACTCCTCTGCAAGCAAGCAGGTGGGCAAGCAGGGCAGAAGGAGTGTGCAGCACTGCTCCCCCGCCTCCCATGCCAGCTCTTACACTGCCTTCTTTCTTCTGAAGGTGGGGAAGGAAGAGCAGGAGCTGACCTGCCCTCCACTGTTCACCCCATCCACTGCCTTACCTATTGCAGGGAGGAGGGCAGGGGATGATGTGCGGAAGACACCAGAACCCCACTATGTGAGCCAGGCAAATGGGCAGGAGAAGCAGGAGCAGTGGTCACATTGTAAGCAGGTAGGCTGTCCAGTGAGTGGCTGGGCTAGCTGGAGAGCAGGGGGAAGCATGGGATGGTTCCCTGCTCATTTTTATCCCATTGTACCTAAAAAGGTCTGTGGGGAAAACACAAACCCCTCATGAATTATTGTTACCCTTCTTCTGCACAGGGATGCTACAACTTTCACTGTAAACATGTTTGACTGTCAAACTTACTGTAATAGATCACAGCAACCAGATATGAGCTGATCATGCAGTCTGTCTGGTTTGTGCTTAGCAGAGCAAACACTTGCTGAACTAGTTGTCCTAAAACTATGCACATGAAATGATGCTGCTGATTCAAATGGATTAATGGCCATTAGCATCCCCGAAGTTAATTTTTTTATTGAAACACAGTATTTATTGACGACTGGTTTATATGATTTATGAGTGCTCTAACTGTCTATTTAAACATCTGGCTGCTGAGTGGAGAAGTTATGCACAAGGATGGGAAGTAACTGAATTCCATCAGACTGTGTGAGATCACACATGCATGAAAAGGCAACTGAAAATACAGTGAAACCCCCCCTGATGAACCCCCGCAAGCAGACTGTAGACCAATCAAACTGGTCATCAAAAAAAAAATCAAGTTTCTGCTGGCAACTGGCAAATAGGATACAAGCCGAACCGGAAAGTGTTCAAGCACCCCTGCTTCTGCCCCAGCCTCCACTTCTGCACAAGAATTTATAGAGTGCCGCACTAGAAACCAAGTCTATCTAATCCCACTGTCCGTATCCAATCTTGACCAGTCAGGTGTCTCAGTAGGCTTCTAAGCAGGACATGAAATTAAATGCCAGGAATCAGCCCTCTCCTATGCTTATGGTCCCAGAATCTTAAATTAGAAGGTATGCAAACTCTCAACAATGGATTCAATTTGCCTGAACCTGGATAACCCAGGTTAGCCCAATCTCTTCAGATCTTGGAAGCTAAACAGGGTAGGCCCTACTCAGTATTTGGACAGGAGACCACCAAGGAATACCAGAGTCGCTATGTAGAGGCAGGCACTGGCAAACCATCTGTTAGCCTATTGCCTTGAAAAAACTGAGGGCTCGCTATAAACTGACTACAACTTCACGGGGGGGGGGGGGATCATGACTAATAAACATTCATTTCACTAGCTTCAGCCCTTCCAAACATCCAGACACCCACTTTATATTCTAGCTTTTATATCTAGCCCACTACAATATCTCTAGCTCTTGATACAGAATAGCACTGGGTCTGCAGAAGTAGTCCTGATGCTACTTTACTGAATGTGTAGCTTCAGCAAGATGCAAGCAAAAATGCTTTGCTGTTTCCCTTTCACAACTAAACAGCTGGCTATTAATTCCAGCTTTTTAGATGAAGACAAAGTGGAGGACACACATCATCCTGCTACCAGAAATCTGACACTATCTTTGGGAAGTCAAAGAGGCAAGCAGTGTGTGGCCCTTCCTATTTATTTATTAAAATATTTATACCCCACCTTTCTGTTGTGGCTAAGGCAGCTTACAACTCCAAGTTTAAAAACATACAAAATAAAATAAAACCCCATTAATCCCTTTCCTCATGAAACTGTCCACAACTTAACCCTCACTAAAATCCTTTGCCGAGGCTTCCGGGTTAAGCGTTTCGCTGCTCGGACACGTCCCGTCTCACTCTGATGGAGACGCGCCGAGACCTGGCTGACAGGAGGGGTCCGAGTTCATCCTGGACCTCCCCAGGGTCTCTGTAGGAGACTCCCAGCCTGGGGAGCTGAGGAGAGCCTCTTCCAAGGTGACAGCCAAGGAATTGAGGCTCACCTTCTTCCCTGAAAGGTACCATCACCACAGAGCCAGTATGGCGCCCAGAGACGACTGCCGGAGCAAGTGATCATGATCAAACTTCTAAAAATGCTTACAAAAGATCTCCAAGGCTCCAAACTGTGAGTTAAGCAAAGCTCAGGTGAAAAAAGCGAACTGAACCTTGGTAGTAATTGGAAGCGCCTAAGTTTGAAGCGCTGGGGGAGAGGAATTCAAGCACACACACCCTTCTTTTGAGTAAACGTTAAAAACGGTTTTAAATCAGAAATAAAAAGACTTTGAGCTAAAAGAAGCGCATAAGAAGTTAAGCGAATGCAAAAACTGCTAAAGTATACAAAGCGGGATTAAATCGCATAACTTTTTTCTTGTTTTGAAAAACTTGTTGATATTATGGCTGGGAGAGGATGGAGGGTGCTGTAGAAAAAACTGGTGACCGGAAATAACATACCAACAACTCCCTCCCAGAACCAGGAAGTAACTACAGACGTTTCTTCACTGTTAGCAAATGCACTGCGTCCCCTAATGGATCAGATGACTAACTTCAACACTAAGCTGGATAATGTTCAAAAACAATTGAATCAAATGGATAAAAGAATTTCAGCGACTGAGAAAACGTTGAAAAAGATGGAAAAACAGACAGAGCATTAACAAAAGAGTGGATGAAGCAGAGAAGGAGAGATCCTCTGATAAAACGCAACTTATACAGCTCCAGCTGGAAAGATCCATGTACGTTCTACATTTCCATGGGATCCCTGAAGAGAAGAACAAGGATTTAAAAGAACTGTGTCATCAGAATCATTGGAATCGGAGAAAAGAGTGGCTGCTCCCAAACGCCTGAAAACGAAGAAACGCAAGAAGAAAAAAAAGACTCTAGAACTAAGACAATAGTACTAAAGGCAGTAATTGTGTTAAGCTATTAAATGTGTACTATCATAATTGAACCAAATCTTTGTATAACTTGTAATATTAGGTTAAGAAGCATTATTTTTTTCTACTATTCAGATCGTGACATGTACTAGACTTCCTTTCCCCAAATCCAGTAGATGAAATAGATCAGAATGGTAGTTTTCCTTTCCCTATCAAGTAGATATATGTATTAGAGCTCCTTTACCCATCACCCATAGTATTAGTGTTAGGGTATTAGTATCCCTTCCCCTATCCCATAGTTGTCGTGTGTAGAAAATGCAAAAAAATAAAAAATTCCCCTGGGGGGGGGGGAAAGTAAAAATAAAATCCCCTGCCAAAAAGGCCTTAAAGTGT